TGGTGTCAGTGACCTCTGACCCAGACTGGGAGGAGCACAGTGGAAATGATGCCCCACAGCCCGGGAGGGCGGTGGATTCACAGCTAGTCTGAGGTTGGAACAGGAAATGGTTAATAGTGATTGCAAATACAAACTTTCTGCTCTATCCTGTTTCTGAAGCATTTCCCAGAAGTTAAAAAAGAGCGCCTAATTTATCTGCCCAATTTGAGAATCAAATTAAAAAATAGGGACAAAATATTTTCACCATTTATTGTACACAAGAATAATAGTTGGCTTGTTTGTTAAGGTGGTGGGTTCCCAGATTTCTTACCCCCTCATTTCTAAACTTTCTAGAATGCTGTTGGGAGTTTAAATGCAAATTTATATTTTAAATTTCCAAAAGTGTGTGTTTGGGTGTATGTGTTCATGTGTATGTGTGTGTGTAGGTTTGTAGGCGTGTGTGTGTATTCATGTGCAGGTATGTGTATGGTGTGTGTTCATGCCTGTATAGGTGTTCATGTGTTTATGTGTTTTGTGTGTGGTGTGTGTTCACCGGTACCTGTTCCTGTGTGTGCATGTGCTTATACATGGGTTGGTATTTGTATATGTGTATATGTGTGTGGTGTGTTTGTGTGTGCATAGGTATGTATGTTTTATGGGTGTGTGTTCATGTGTGTGTAGTACACGTGTGTGAACACTTCCCCGGCCTATCCCACTGGGTGTCATTCACGCTTCTTGCTGGCTGGTCGCCCAGGCAGCTGAGGTGCTGCCCCGCGGGCTCCAGTGCCAGACTGACCTGGGTGGACGTGCAGCCGCCCCCGTGGGCATGCAAGAGCTGCTGCCCTCTGGGCAGGCTGTCCTCAACTTGGAGGGCCGGGTCCCCTCTGCCCAGCCTGTGCCGGCTCACCCCGAAGGTGCCCCCTCGCCTGCGTCCCTTGTCCGTCCCCTCTGTTGCCCAATGCCACGGCTCCTTCCGGGACCTGGCGGAGGTGCCGGCCCCTCGCTTGGCAGCAGCTGGGCTGGACGCTGGAACTTGGGATGGCGGGAAGCGCCTTTAGGAACAGAACCGGCTGGGTGGGGGCTGCTGTCCCGGCTGCTGGCCAGGACCCCCTCCTGATGCCTGCAGGCCCCGGACACACACCTCGACGGCATGCTTGGGCTCGGGCCTCCCGGGGGGCCACACGGCCTGGGGTTCGGGGAGTGGCCCATGTTCCTGAAGCTGCACCCCCTCTGCTGAGGTCTGGGGGGCTGAGGTGAGCCCAGCATGAGCTGAGCACCACGCTTCTGCCCAAGTCTCTCTTCTTGTCTGTCTGTCTGCCTGTCTGTCTCAACCTCTCCTGTCCAGACACACAAGGTGGGGCCCTGTTGACAGAGCAAAGCCAATCAGCCGGCTGGCCTCGTGCTGGACCCAGCGACCCCTTGACCCTGACCTGGCTGCCAGCTTTGAGGCCTCCCTGCTGTGAGGTCCTGCCTCTGCCACCCTCCCCCTCCCCACCCCCAGTCCAAATGGGGCAGTTCCCTCGTCCAGGGTCGCAGTGAGGGGCTTCAGGGGAGCCAGCCAGGCGAAGAAGGTGACAGACACTCCTGCAGGAGACTGTCCTCGTGTCTCACCTGGGCTGCGGAAGGTCTGCTTTCACATGCTCCACCTGGAAGCCCCCAGTGTGAGGGCTGCCCCTGCCCTCCGATCAGGGCAGTGAGTGTGAGGGGGGAGGCCAGAGAGTGTCCACGGGGAGAGGGGCCTCGGCGTCTCCCTCAGGGGTGCGATCGTATAGAAATGGTACCTGGTTTCCTGACACCGTTCTCCACCCATACCCCACCCCGGACTGGGGTCATCAGTGCCCCAGGGAGGCTGTCATAGGTTAGAAGGTGGAGGGCAGCGTAGAGGCAGAGGGCGTGGCTACGAGCCTTGTTCATAGAGCCTGTCCTTAGCGGTGCCAGCATCCTCGCACCGGCTCCGAGGAAGGGCTTCTCCCACCCCATCTACGGGCTGCACAGTCACACAGCCGGACCCGTGGTTCCAGGACACGCCGCACAACCCAGGAATCACGTACGGAGTGGTGTGTGCGTTTTGCTTCGCCCATCGTTTCTCTGGTCAAAAGGAAAAGGAGGGGATATTTATGCCTGAAGAATTTGTTAGCTGACCCTGTAAGTAGTTTTTGCAGGGGGCTTGGCTCGTGGGTTTGGGGAGCACATAAATGGGCAGACGGATAGAGGTACGTGGAGGCTGACTTCCCCGGGGTCTGCACCTGGGCCTTTGGATCAGGCTCTGGGCCAGACTGAGGAGGTCCTGAGAAAGGTTGGAGGCGACAGGCTCCTTCCATTTTGAAAGGGTCCGTCTCATCACCCAAAGGTTATTTTCCAGGGCAGGGGGTGGTGAGTTATGATTCCAAGACTCTCCCCCAGAGTCAGAGACAGTTGGTGGTCTCGGAGCGGAGAGGCCTGCAGGGTGGCCTGGTGTACAGGGCTGTGGTCCAGTCTGGGCAGAGCGAGGGTGCCCACACCCAGCACGGTGTAGGCACAGCCAGGGCCGCTGTGCCTGGAGGCGCTACCAGAGAGGGAGAGCTCGGTGGGGGCTCCTTGGGCCAGGGCTACAGCCATCCCCTCAGCCCCCTGCACAGGCATGTGACAGGACAGCATGGGTGCCCACATACGCACAATGGCCCTGGACTAACCAGCAAAATTCAGGACCTTAGAATTGCTATGATTGGCTGGGTGATAACCAAAAAACTCCCAGAAAATGGCTGCTAGAAGTTTATTTCTCTCTTGAAGAAGAACTCCAGAGGTAGGCGACCCTGAAGTGGTATCGTGACTCCAACTGCCCTCAAGGATTCAGGGTCTCAGCATGTGGTTTCCATCTGCAAGGTCACCTCATGGTCTAAGGTGGCTGCAGGAGTGCCAGCCATCACCTCTGCACTGATGAACAGAGAAGGTGGAAGTGGAATGGGAAAGGCTGGACTTCCCCTGGTTACCTGGTCCCATATTACAGAACCTTCCCCAAAGCACATTCCAATAATTTCCTGTTCTATCTCATTGTCACACTTAGCTGCAAGGAAGAAAGATGTCATCCAGTTGAAAGAGAGCCAAAAGGAAGTTTGAGAAATGAACAAGTCACTTGACAGGATCAGCTGTAGTCTGGACACAGACGAGGAGAGAATCAAGGAACTGGGAGAAAAATGAGAAGAAACTGCTCAGCATGCAGGGTACAGAGGCAGAGTCACGAGACAGGTGGATATAGGGAGGAGGCCCACAGGGAGGTGAACAGGCCATGGGCAGAGCATTCACTGGGGGCGAAGGCTGTGCTAAGTCTGCGCCTTGGAATTTCTAGGTGGGTCTGGGCATGAACAGGCTGCAGGAAAGGTCCGCAAGGCCCGCTCCCAGCAGGGGTGGATGCAGCGATTCTTGAACCTGGAGCCGGCTGCCCGGCAGGTGCCGTAGCCCTCGGCAGGGGACACAGAGCAGGCAGCTCGCTGCTGTGGGCACTGCCGCTTGCCCAGAGGCCCAGGGGCAGGGTCCACGACCCTCATTCCGGGCGGGGTGCTCCGGATGAGGCCCGCTCTGGCCTGGGAGCTGCCGAACGGCCTGGAGGAGCATCCTTTCCCGCCAGCCGTGGCGCTGGGGGACTTGCTGGCTGCTGAGCACCGTCCCGACAGTCCATGTCCCTGTTTCACTTGGTCAGAGCTTTTCCTCTCGTCAACATGAGCCGCCGATTCACAGCCTTGGACCCACGGAGAAACCCGCTTCCGTGGCACTGGGCCGGCCAGCTCCTCGGCGGAGCCACGCTGCCCAGTGGACAGGGCGCTGGGTGCCGCCTCCCCTGGGAGCTCGCTTGAGCCCTCCCCCCACCGCCCCGGGCTCAGGCCCCTCCCGGCTCTGCTCAACCCTCCAGCCTCGGCTGGCTCTTTCCTCGAGCCATGTCGCCCTCGCACCTTCACCAAGTACTGGACACACGGGGCGGGGGGGCGGGTGGGGGGCGAAGCTGGCCCACAGACAGCGCAGGAGCCAGACGCATGCGCACAAGACGCGGGGGCGGAGCTTCCTCTCAGGGGAGGCGCAAAGCCCCCAAACAGGCTGCATCTCGGGTGGAGCGGCCAGGGCTCCCAGCGCCGGTGCCCCTGCCGGGAGGGGATTGCTGGCGGCGGGTATGGGGCACGCAGACAGCTTTGGGGGCCGGCTCCTTCAGGTCCTGAGCTAAGACTTCAGAGTAATTTGTGAAGCTGTGCATTACCTTTAAGGCATTTTTACGTAAATGTACATTTCTAGCCAATAAAAAGTATGAAGAAAGGAAAAGACTTGGGAGGGACTTCCCTGGCGCTCCAGTGGTTAGGACTCCACGCTTCCACTGCAGGGGACGCGGGTTCCATCCGTGCTCGGGGAACTAAGACCCCGTAAGCTGCGTGCGTGGCGCAGCTGAACAAACACCAAAAAAAAAAAATAAATAAATAAAAGAAAGAAAAAGAAAAGTCATGGGAAAATTTGCAACGATACATGTTCAGTAAAGTTCCTTAAGCTTTGTTTGTAATGGCAAAGACTTAGCACCGTGGTCAAGGACAGAGGCCGGGCAGGTAGATCATGCCCCAGCCACAGACTGGAAAATATCAGATATTTAGAAGAATGGGCATCACCGTCCATGCTACGCTGTGGGTAAAAGAAGCAGACCTTAGGATAATATGTTCAGTAAGATTTCCTATTTGTGAAAAATAATTATGGAAATGTATATGTGCATAGGCACCGAAAATACGTGGATGTCAGCACCACAATGATGACTATGGGCGATTTTTATCATATTGTAGTTTGTCCTTTTTATGTTTCTGATTTTTCCTAAAATGAAAATCCACTGCTTGCGTAATAAAAAATACGCAAAAGGGTCAGAAAAAAAGGCCTATTTCTCATTTCTCTGAGACAAATCCGGTTGCTATGGAGACGAGACGGTTGTCAAGGCGGCAATTGGTCGGTGCCGGAGGCGGGTGGGCGCTCGCTAGGAACCGCAGCCAGCGCAGCCCTCAGACCACACTGGGGAGCCCAGCGCCAGCATGGACGGCGTGGATGTGTGGGCCACCACCTTGGCCCAGCTGATGGCCAAGAGGAAGCCCCAGAACACCTGGGAGCTGGTCCCCGAGGAGAACCTGGCCTCAGGGCACCTGGACAGCAGTGGTTTCCAGTACCGGCTGCGGGGGCTCTCGAGGTGCGGCTGAGGGGGGGGGTCTCCTGTGGGGTCCTGGGAGGGAGGGGCCGAGGCTACTTAACCACTGGCTAGGCTGGGTGTGGCCTGGCCGGTGAGGAAGGCGGCGGGGGGTCCGTGTGTCTGCCTGGCCTTGGCACCCAACAGGTGGGTGGGTGGGTCGGGTGTTGCTCCTCCCTTCCGGGAAGTGGGGGTGTTGGGGGAGCAGTCTGTTCATTGCCTTTCAGCACAGGCCAGCTGAGGCCCTGCCTGGCAGTGTCGGCACTGCCAGGCCAGTTGGGGCCCTGCCAAGGGGCAGCTGGCGTGGTGATGCTGCCCCTGCGTGGAGGACTTTGCTTGTTCACTGCAGCATCTCCTCGTTTCTGTGGCAGCGCTGACAGCGGGAGCAGGGTGTGGGCAGGTACCCGGTCGCCGCTCGGCCCTGCACTGCAGGGAGGCCTGAGGGGATGGAAGAAGGGGGTACGGGCCCCAGAGGAAGGAGGATGTCCCCGGCCTGGGCTGTGGCCGAGTGCGGGCCGCGTCACGAGCCCCCGGGACCATGGGTCACCACGTGAGCCTCGCTCTTCCTCGTGATGCCAGCTGCCGTCAGAGCAGCCAGCACGGGCCAGACCTGCAGGGGCCCTGCCCAGCCAGGCAGCCTGGTCCCCCAGGGGCCAGCTGGGAGGGGGCTGAGGGGAGAGGGGGCCGCGCAGACCAGTCCCGCCCCAGTTCCCCAGCGTCCGAAATCCCTGGAGTCAGGTGTGCGCTGGGATGCCGGCTTTCCCAGGTGTCAGGAAGTAACAGCCTTCGGCGCATCTGAGGGGCCCCTTCCAACCCGGTACTCTGTGGGTACCCGGGCCCCACAGAGGAGCCGCTCTACACAGGTGGGACGAGGACCCTGAGTACATCTTGGTTTTCTGTTTTCACGGACAGAAATGCCAGCTGGTGGGATGGTCACTAGGGCAGACCCACCTCTCCACGTGCAGCCACTGGCCACGTGTAGCCATGACGCGCTCATTAATTAACAAAGGAGGAAGTTCAGTCCCCAGGGCACCATCCGTGTCTAGGTGCTCCCCGGCCACGTGTGCTGGAGGCTGCATGCGGGGGCACAGTGGGGACAAGCCCACCATCAGGGGAAGTTCCGGTGAGGGTCAGAGGGTCACTCACCTGTGACCTGACAGTCTGGAAACAGAAGGACACAGGGCCTTCAGCCTCCGGAGCGGCACCCTCACCGCTCTCCTCACGCTCCTCTGCCCGCCCCCAGCCTCCCCATCACCTCTCTCCCGTGGGGTGGGCTCCCCAGGTCCTTTCTGCAGCCCCCCGCCCCCTCACTGGGCATCACAGAAGCTCTTCCTTTCCTCACTGTCCTGGTGGCGTCTCCTCGAGCAGCTGAGACCCAGGTCAGCAGGCGACAGACCGGCAGCAGCAGGCGCAGAGGCGGCCCTGCGCGTTCAGTCGCGGCTTTGCTGCTGAGAGCGTCTTGGTGCCGAATGGATGAAAGGCGCCGGCTATGGCTTTTCAGGTTGTGGGTGCAGCGAGGGATGTGCACACACGGGCTGGGGTCATGAATTCCGCTGGGCCTGGGGGAGGGCCACCCCGGCCCCGCTCACCCCCTCTCTCCTCCCCAGGCTCCAGTGTGGCCGCTGCCAGTGGGGCTGGTCCTCGGCCCACGTGCACATCCTCTTCCACCTGTAGTGGGACGAGGATGCCCAGCAGGGGCTGGTGAAGGTGCGCATCTGGGCCCAGCGGTGCCGGCTGTGCCCGCGGGCGGGGCCGCCTGCCACGTCAGCCTGCTCAGCGTGCGGCTCTTCCTCAACAAGCTGGTGCAGTTCATCGCGCAGAAGTGCTACGGGGAGGGCCCAGGCTCCGACCAGTGCCCCGAGATCTGCTTCGGCGAGCACTGCGACGCCTGCGACCTGGGGGTCTGCTTCTTCCAGAAGCCCCCGGACCCCGCCTGGGGGCCCGAGGTCAAGAGCCCCAGCACCAGCAAGGGCAGGTTCACCCTGTATGGTGGCAGCAACGTGGACGCCCCCACCGCCAGCCAACAGCTGCGCATGCTTGGCTGCAGGCTTATGGTGGACCGCTCCAGGGGCTACACCCCAACTCCACCACGGTCCCCCTCTCCGTGGCCGACTTCATCAAGAACCCCCTCTCCGAGAGCAGGGACTTCTTCGGCGAGAGGATGAGGAGATCGTCACTGTCCCCTCTCCCTTGTGCGCGAGGACAAGGGGCCCGTGGCCGACCCCAGCGGGCCGCTCACTGTTGGCAGGGGCTCCCCCTACCTGCCCACCAGCTCCAAGGCCACGTCCAAAGGCAAACGCTTCCCGGTGAACATCAAAGTCCCCGTGTTCCACGGCAAAGGCCTCGTCCTCAGCGGCACCAAGGAGATGACAGGCTTTATCTACAAAGGCCATGGCTGCATCTCCGACCCTGATGGAGATGAGATGCAGACGATGGCTGGGGCCCCGCGTTCAGCAGCAGCGGTGCCGTCACTGAAGTCACTGATGGAAACAGCCCGCGGCCAGTGACCTACATCATCGGCCTCAGGCACAACGGGCAGGGCTCCGTCACCTTCCCCTCTTCCTTGACCAATGTGGTCCTTGAAGGCGAGGACCCCTTTGACCTCATCTACGGCTCCCTCACCTTCCCTTTCATCTTCGCCACCAAGGGCAAAGGCGGGGCGTCCTCTGCTGGCGTCACTGAAGGCAAAGGGAAGGGGGATGGCGGCAGCGGCCCTGCCACCACTGGCCGTGAGCCCCTTCCGGGGACCAATGCCAGTGGCCCTGTCCCCATCAGCGAGGGCTCCGTCACTATCCCCTTCTCCGTCCTCAGTATCATTCAGAGCAAGGGCTCTAGCAGTGATGACAGTGGCCCTGAAAGCAATGGCCTTGCCACCCCTGGCTTTTCCAAGAAGCAGAGGCAGCCGGGGCCCAGGGCGGGCAAGTCCGGCCCTGGGTGCTACTGGGAGGAGGACTTCTGCTGGGCCGTAGGCTTCCGCTTCGACCCCTACGAAGAAGTCTGGATCTGGGTCTCCATGACCGTCCACATCCTCTGGATAATGTACCTGTACAAGTTCAGCTCTGACCACTCCCCGTGGGTGTGAAGTGTGGCGCCTCTCGTCGGTCCCTGCTTCACCCCCCAGCAGGGCCGCCCGGGCAGCCAGCGAGCCAAGTGACCTCCCTGTCCCCCCAGCAAGCCCCCGGCCGCCTTGGCCGCCCCCTGCTTCCGTGTTCTGTCTCCTGCCATGAGTTGTGGTGTCGTGGAAGCTCACGCCGTGATCGTCCCCCGAGCTGACCGCGTGTGTTCCAGGCGCTTTTCTGTACGTGTGTTACACTCCAATAAAATAAAAGTTAGGAAGCAGCAGCCACACGGCACTCGGGCTGAGCTGAAGGTGTGAGGTGGGAGGGCGAGGTGGGCACATGGGCCGACTCCTGGGTCCCAGTCCCCGCGGGGTCTCCTTCCCTCGATGGCTCCTGGATCCCTGGACGGGACGCTCGGATCTGTTCAGCACAGGCTGTCAGGGCGGGGTGGGCGGTGGGGGGAGGAGGTCCTACACCACCCACTCTGCGAAGATGAAAGCCCCTTGAGGTGTGGTTGGCAAGCCTCTTCCCCCCCGCGCCCCCCAACACCAGGGTCCCAGTAGCTGAGGAGGTAGCTTCCCCACGGGAGGGGCAGGAGGCCAGCCAGCGCTTTACCGGATTCTGTTCACGGCTCCCCTGGAGCATTTATATCCACAGCGCTGTTTTGGTTTAAGAAACTCCATCTGTGCTGTAGGTCAGAAAACTGTTCTGTCACTTGTATGCACACCTTGGATTTCCATCTTAAAGGCCGTAGGTCCGGTTCTAAGGGGCAGGGGTGTTGGGCCATGTGGGTCCCAGGCAGCTGGGGGCGTGACAGCGGGCAGCTGGGTCAGGCCGCCCTGTAGCCCCCCATGCAGAGCCGGCCCCAGGACCCTGGTGGGGGGTTTGTCTGCAGAGCCCGAGGTCTGAGACTTGCATCCCCTGGCTGGATGAGAGTTTGGGAAGGCCTGCCCTGTGGGGAGGGCTGAGTGGACGGAATCCAGAGGCACTGGAGAGTCTGCCCTCAGGCCTGCCGTCAGGGTGAGTGGGGAAGGCGGGGCGGGGCTCCCGCACAGACAGGGCTGCCTGAGGTGGCAGGGGAGGAGGGGGCTTTACATCAGCACCAGGGTGGCATGTGCCCTCCCCAGGCCTGCTCACAGAGACCCCACATGACACCAGAGCCACGGAAGCTTCCACCCTACACGGAAGGCCAAACCTGCACGGGACGTGAGCCTGTACACCTCAGCCAGCCTGAGCAGAGCCTCACCAGACAGCACGAGGCCAGGTCACCAGGTGGCCTATGTGCTAACCTCACCCTTAGTGCAAGACCCACCCTCCACCCTCAGTGGTGTGTCTGCACTGGGTGAGACCCTCACTCTTAGGACAGAAACCACCTTCCCACCCTCAGTGGTCTGTCTACACTGGGTGAGATCCTCACCCTTTGTGCAGGATCCACCCTTCCACTATTAGTGGTCTGTCTACACTGGGTGAAACCCTCACCTGAGAGCAGGACTGAGCCTCCCACCTTGGTTTTCCCGTCTACACTGTGGTGTGACGACCTAGCTGGGTGGTGTCTGTGGTGGTTGGGGTTCTAATTTACTTTTATTATTATTTTTTTTTTAACGGTACGCGGGCCTCTCACTGCTGTGGCCTCTCCCGTTGCGGAGCACAGGCTCCGGACGCTCAGGCTCAGCGGCCATGGCTCACGGGCCCAGCTGCTCCGCGGCATGTGGGATCCTCCCGGACCGGGGCACGAGTCCGCGTCCCCTGCATCGGCAGGCGGACTCTCAACCACTAGACCACCAGGGAAGCCCCTATTTTTTATTTTTTTATGACATAAGCTCTGTTTTATTTGGGGGAATCAGGAAAGGCCTCTCTTTTGAGAGAAGGCTTTTGATTAGGAGACTTTTGAGAAGAGGCTTGATGGAAATAAAAGTAGCAAAATGAGGATTAAAATAAGTCAGTCTATAGGATTTTTCAGTTAGGAAGCCACTTCAGTTAGGAAACCACCTTCACAATGATGAGTGGAGTGCGGGGGATGAAATTTGAGTGCAAAGGGCTGAGAATGAGTAAGAGGAGACAGCGTTATTGTTTCCAGTTCACTGCAAAGACCAGAGGAGAGACAGAGACGGGGGGGGGGGGGGGGGGGGAGAATATGCATATCCGAAACAACACAGGATCCCATCGGCCTCTGCTTGCAATTAGTATCTGACTCTTAGCTCCCTTCCCGGGGCCACCTTTTCTGATTCTGTTTTCTTTTAGCTTCAGGTAGTCTTTTCCCCCGCCTAGCTGTCCTCTTCGGCCCTGCACAATTCCTTTAGGGAGCTGTCTCTAAGCCCCACGTCACATACTCGGAGGCAATTGCCTCCTTGAACTCTTGCGCCGAGGGGGCTTTTATTTCTTCAGCGTTTGCACAAAGTTATTTTTCAGTCGCTTCCTCCTTCTGTCTGTTCTCCCCTGTCCTGACTTCGGCCTTCATTGTTCACTTTCCACTTTCAACCCTGCCTTGGCTTTTAGACTAGATTTCAGCATTGTTTTCTTACCCATAATCTTGTCTACCTGTTTTCCAAGAATTAGGTCCTTCCTGTACACTGCTTTGGGCTGCCTATCTCAATCCAGCCCCAGGAGATATGGTGTTTCCTGAAGATACAGCAGAGGAAACTACAGATTAGGTTGTTAACCTACAGTTCTGGATCACCTCCTTGGTAAGACCATGGCCATTTCATGCCCAAATTAAAGTCCTCCATGGCTAGCCAACCTGGCACTAGAGGTAGAACATTACTCTAGGGACTTCCCCGGTGGCACAGTGGTTAAGAATCCGCCTGCCAATGCAGGGGACACGGGTTCAAGCCCTGGTCTGGGAAGATCTCACATGCCGCAGAGCAACTAAGCCCGCGCGCCACAACTATCGAGTCTGCGCTCCAGAGCCCGCGAGCCACAACTACTGAGCCCACGTGCTGCAACTACTAAAGTCCGCACACCTAGAGCCTGTGCTCCGCAGCAAAGAGAAGCCACCGCAATGAGAAGCCCGCACACCGCAACGAAGAGCAGCCCCCGCTCGCCGCAACTAGAGAAACCTGCACACAGCGACAAAGACCCAACGCAGCCAAAAAAACAAAACCAAGACCCAAACCAAACACCCCGCCCCCCTCCCCCCTCACCAAAACAGAAAATCATTACTCTAATAACTGGAATCCCTGGGCTCATTAACCATTCACAGAGCCCAGGGCCGAACTGCTGGCTCTACATTGAGAAGTCCAACCCCCATGGCTCTGAGAGCACTCCGAGTTCTGAGGTCTGTTCTCCCAGAGGTTCAGTCCTGCCCCTCTCTAACTGATAATATGCTAAGTGTGCATAAAGCACTTCTGCTGAATCGGGGGTTCTGACTGAAAGGGGGTTCTGATGGCAGTTCCTGTGCTGGGCTCAGCATGGACACTGGGTGGGCTCCCTCTGCCCCCACGTGTCAGGGGCCCCCGGCCTCTGGCTCTCTGGCTTTGCCCGGAAATGGCTGCGTGGAGGCTGTGCTGTCCATAGAGGCGTCACCTCTGTTCCTGGTTCCAGTGTGACCTCTGCTGGCGCAGGTCTCTCCCTCCCCAGCCTTGGCCAAACTGCAGCGTCACCTCCATGGTTTCCAACTTGTAGATAAACTAAAATTATTTCCCAGATGCAAAGCTTGCCTGGGTGGATTAAACTGGATGCTGTGACAGCTGAGAATTTCAGTGCTGGCCACTCTTCCTGTGGGTGCATAACAGGTGTTCAGTCCAGGAGTCTGACCACACCGGCTCAGAGGGCGGAGTCACCCCCGGCCCTGGGGTAGGTGTGGGGAATCTGCCCCCAGCACCACCACCCAACCCCCTCCCTCCCGTATGGGTGGGCTCTGCACCAGCTCCTGGCTTCTGGGACCTCCTGGTGGTCAGCTGGGCCACCCGGGGCGGACGGTAACCTGCCCCTCCCCCAACATCCCCGGCCAGCGCTGTGCGGCGGGCGGTCCTGGGCCTGTTGGACTCACGGTAACGGTCTGTGCCTCCCCGGGCCCTGCTGGCCACACACCTTGACCTCATCTCTGTCCCTCCCGTCGCCCGCCCGGCCCGCGCACGTGCAGGGAGAGGGAGGGTCGGGTTCCCGTATGGCCCCTCTGGGTCTTCAGCACCCCTCGCCCTAGGAACCTGCGAAGAGCGGTGTCCCCTTAGGTGTGAGCACACGGGGACTTCAGTAAGGCCCACACCAGCCGGAAGCAGAAAATGTGGGGAGCGCTAGGGTCCTCCAAATAGGGAGTGGGCAGAGGGAGGCATCACGGATGGCATAAGGGGGGTGGTACAGCGCCTCCGGGTCCGGGGGTCCTCAGTAGGCACTCCCAGTCTCCTCCCCAACTCCTAGCCCAGCCCCACCCCTCCCACCCTTCCCCAGCCCCTCGGTCTCCTGCCGCCCCAGGCCCCCGCCCCCAGCTCCGGCCCCTCCTCCAGCCCCCGCCCGGCCGCCCGCGTTGTCCTGCGGCGCCCCCGAGTGGCCGCTGGCGGGAAGCGCAGTCCTGCGATGGGGGAGGCGGGAAGGCTCTGCCGCTGTTTTAACTGTTTTAACTGTTTACTGTTTAATCAGAAGGTTCCTTAAAACCCAGCAAACTCCACCCATCGTCAGCATCACTAGCACACGGTTTCATAAATAATTAAAACTCATTTAATTACTTAATAATTCATTCAGAATTAAGATTCAGGAATACGATGAAAGCGAGAGCAATACCCACACTTGACCTGTGCGCCCCCATGCCCCCCCCCCCCCCATTCAGGCGTGCGGGCTATGTGAGTGCGCGGTCAAGGGAAGTTCAGGCTCGCGGACACTGGATAAAACGCCAAGGGCGAGCCTGGGGCTCAAATCCAGGGCAGCCGGCGCCCCAGCCCCTGTGCAGCCTGAGTGACCACGTTGGGCCAGGAGGACTAAAGGCAGACACGTTTCAAATGTAATTGCTATTAGTTCAAGCAAGGATGGGGTACTTAAAGTGTGAACGATTTCCTGATTTCTTGCCCTCTAGGGAGAGGCCATAGGGTCA